ACTGTGCAGACACCCCCCCCCCCTATATACGGTGCAGACAGTTATAATAACTGTTATAATACAATAAACTGTAATAATACAATGAGCTGTACTAATACAATAAGTTACAAAAACTGTAATAAAACAATAAGCTGTAATAATACACTGTGCTGTAATGAGAGAATAAGCTGCAATATTTTAATAAACTGTAATAAAAATATGAGAAGTAATAATATAATAAACTGTAATAATACAATAAGCTGTAATAATACAATAAGCTGTGATAATATAACAAGATGTGATAATACAATAAGCTGTGATAATACAATGAGCTGTAATAATACAATAAACTGTGATAATATAACAAGATGTGATAATACAATAAGCTGTGATAATACAATGAGCTGTAATAATACAATGAGCTGTAATAATACAATACGCTATAATAACTGTAATAATACAATAAGCTGTAATAATACAATAAGCTGTGATAATATAACAAGATGTAATAATACAATAAGCTGTGATAATACACTGATCCGTTATAGTACAATTGTCCCCCTGTCACATGCTGTCACTGTCTGACTACACATTACGCCTTGCTGTACTAGGAGTTGAGAAGTACAACAACCCACCAATATGTCTTATTATTAATGTATTTAAATGTATTTAGATTGTGAGATCGTTTGGGCAGGGCCCTCTTCACCTCCTGCTCCAGTATGTCAAACAATATTAGAATGAAATGTTTGTCTTGTTTACCTATTGTACTGCGCTGTGGACTATGCTGGCGCTATATATATTTAATTATAACAATAAATTGACTGTATCCATGAAATTAAGCATGAAAGCCTTTCTATAAGCATGGTGCGGACAAACCATCGCTATGAAGTGAGGTGTGTGGAAACACTAACAGCAGAATACCTGCAGGGGGGCCCCATAACACAAACTATCGATAAAGGATATATTAATGAGAAGGCAAGACACATATTTCAGCTAAATAAAAAATCCTTTATTAGATTCCATTGTGAATTCTCCTGTCTCCATATCTATTGTTTGTTCCTCCCATTAACACGAGTGCATTATGCCGAAAACCTATCGATAGTAAAGGAAAGAGGTCCAGGCACTCCTTGGTTCAAAATAGGCAAATTATTAGAACCACAGCAACGTTTCGACCTTCTCGGTCTTTTTCAAGCTGACAATTACATCCACTAACTTTAATAAAATACACATATGTGAACGAGTATGCAAGACAAATGACAGCTGTGCTAGTAATGAGCTTAAATGAATAATCAACATAAATGAATGCTGAACAGCTACTGTCCATGTGTAGGAAGGACCGCCAAAACACCAGGCTTCCCTGTAGACGCTGCGTTGGAATGCAAACTGCGTTCCACTATTGTTATCTGAAACACTATCGATGTCTGAATTTTTATTGTATTTTATGTTTATATATCTGTATCTATATAAATAAAAACAAGAAGGGCTGTAAGTGGATGGAAAGACGAAAAGATTTAATTTATATAAAGTTACGTTGTTCCAGCGTTCTCCCGACTCAGAATGAATTGTAGAAAGATAGTTTAGCGCCATTTCTCCCAGTTTCTATTACTTTACAATTAACAGCTGTGATTTCTGTATTTCAGACGCTAAATGCTGACGAGCACAGCGATTTCGAGCTGCGTTCTAGCGTCATTCTACTATGGCTTTACTCATTGACGTGACTTTGTTAATGTTATTTTTTTATAATAATTAAGGAATTAAATAATGTATCTGCCTTGAATCTATCTGCTTTTGACATAATCATACATAGATGTTATGTTACTTAAAATAAAATCATTAAAATTAAGTAGGGTATTTTTTCACCCTTTGTGAGACTGAAAAATGACAGTACAACATGATGGTTAGGGAGTTACCATAGCAACCACAGTACATGTGCTGTGGTTGCCATGTATTGAGAGCAGAATGGCCACAATGGGGAGGACTATACTGCTCTCCCTTTTTAGTCAAATGATTAACATGGAGTCTGTGCTACAAGAATTGACTGACAGGTGGGAGGACGGCTGCCATCAGAAAGTATCAGGACCCCTTAAAAATACTGGTTGGACCCCCGCACACAGTTATATACACATCTATACAATGCTAGAACAGACACGCTCACACAGCATCAAACAGACACACAGATGGTTATGTACACGCAGTCAGACAATTGACGGTTGTCACTGGTCTGGCGGCCCTGTAGGACCCAGCTGCCGGAGCCCCACATATACGATATGTAGTGACGGATCTGTCCCCGGTGCATCTGCACCAGGCCCTGCTTGCCGATGTGGCCCATCGGGTGGGCCATGCACTTTGAGCCAGCCAATGGGCATATGTTTTTGAGGGGCCTAGTTAGCGCTGGGGCCATGTAAAAATGGCAGCCACAACTATGCTGGGAGGAAGTGACCACTAGTCACTACCTCCCAGCTTACTTTGCGTGGGAAGGAGGAGGCAGTGAGAAGGGATGAGCCAGCTGCCAGACTGACTCCCATCAGATCTAGCCACCCCCCTGCACCAAAAAGGTAACAAGCAGGAGTGTGGCTAAAATATAAGTTGCATGTGTCTGAACTGCCGGACAGCAAGCAGCAAGCATCAAGCCTCGTGGTCCTTTGTTCACTTTTCTATATAGCTATGACCATAATTATATTTTGAATATAACTCTGGCCATATAAGGACAAGACCCACAATCTACATTCCAGAGTTCTCAGACAAAGAAAGCCATGTGACGTATTGATACTGTTACCGTATAACACTGAAGAAGCCACGCACAGGTCAGTTCAGGAAGGTCTTTATTCTCACCGATCGGGTCTCAGCTGAACTCCTGTCTGAGCACTGAGCACATGGAGCAGAGGCTTTTTATAAGCAATGCATCCCCCATCTGTACCCTTACACCAATCAACAAACAGAATACACAGGATCACCTTATATAGATAGGCAACATGGCCCTTTTAGGAGAATGGAATGTGGTTTCAGTTCTTGCACATGCTCAGTACATTGATGACAGTATCTTAGCTACATGTAACTGAATAACAGATACTTGTACTTGTAAATGCCACATGGAGATTTTAGGCCTACTAAATTTTGGGCCTTTGATGCTTCTGATACAAAGTACTCCAGATGCATCACTTACCATTCTTTGCCAATACCACTCAGGTAATTATAAAACAGGGGAGACCATGTGAGCATTCTAGTTTAATTTTATGAATTCTCAACACCCATCGACCTGATTACCAATGATTTCTCTTTGGGCTAGAGGTTTGTATCTCCAGATGGCAATTACGTGAGCTGCTGTCTTCCTTTCTATAGTGCTCTCAATAATGCTACGTATAGACCGAATTATTAATGGAATCAAACAGGGTAGTAAGAGGCATACGATAAATACCACTTCTCCTACCAGTGCTTTTATCCCTCCAAACTGCTCATACCAGCTTCCAAACCATCTACCTGGATTATACCCGTTCCAGATCTGAGTAGGTACGTGCGTTAATTTAACCATGTGGCTGGTAAGGCCAACCACAGCTTGCCCTTCATCATCTATATGCAGACAGCAATTACTAAAATTAAACTTTCCGCACACACCTCCTTCTACTGCTAAGAAAGAGTGAAGAGACAGCCTATTTTGGTAAATGGCTGACCTCATACGGGTATTCTGTTTTGCCAGGAGGTTAACTGCTTCAGCTGTCTCATTGGTTATAATCTCAACCACCGCCTGTAATCTTATGATGCAGTTGAGCATGTATATGGGGGTCCGGTAACCATAAGTACCATCTTCAGCCCAGGTAGCAGGTCCATAGTAATTCATGATTCGCTGGGGTGGCCATTCATCATCTTCCCAATTACCAATATTTAATGATTCTCACGTTTTCCTATGACTTACATCGTAGACCTTAACTCCCAAGGTCTCTCCTGTTTTGGATTGGTAACAAGAAGAAGATCTTGTGGTAATTCTGAATATGCC